CGAAAAGATGCTCAACCTCCCTCATCATCAGAGAAATGCAAATTAAAACCACAGTGAGATACCACCTCACACCTGTCAGACTGGCCATCATCAATAAATCAACAAAAAACAAGCACTGGCCAGGATGTGGAGGAAGGGGAACCCTTGTGCACTGTTGGTGGGAATGCAGACTGGTACAGCCACTGTGGAAAGCAGTATGGAGATACCTCAAAAAATTTAAAACGGATCTGCCTTTTGACCTAGCGATTCATTCCACTTCCAGGAATATATCCGAAGGAACCCAAAACACTAATTTGAGAGAACATAAGTATCCTTGTGTTCATTGCAGCATTATTTACAATCGTCAACATATGGAAGCAGCCCAAGTGTCCATCAGCAGATGAGTGGATAAAACAACCATAGGACATTTACACAATGGAATACTACTCAGCTATAAAAAAAGAAAAATTTTACCCTTTGTGACAGCATGGGTGGACCTGGAGAACATTATGCTAAGTGAAATAAGCCAGTCAGAGAAAAACACCATATGATTTCACCCATATGTGGAATCTAATGAACAAACTCAACTAATAAGCAAAACAGAGACAGACTCATAGATGGAGGGCAGATGACAGCCAGTGGGGTGGGGAGGAGGTTAGGAGGTGGAGGGATTGAGCAAAAAGGAAAAAGGGCTCATGGACACGGACAACAGTGTGGTGATTGTGAGGCGGGGAGGAAGTACAAGGGGGTAAAATGGTAATGGAAAAATACAATAAAAATATATATAAAAAATAAGATCAACTTAAAAAAAACAACACAGGAGCTGAGAGTTGGATGCCAGCTCCCACCCACCCTGCTCTAGGACCACCCAGGTCTCTGTCCCAGGGAGGCCAGCGTCACCTCCGCTCACTCCTGGTTCGCCCCCACCCACAGCTCCGCAGGTCCCAGGGAAGGACCGTCACATCTACAGACCAGAAAGTCCATGCAGGCTGCAGGGCAGGACTCTACTGATGACAGTGCTGAGGCTCAGAAAGAAACAGTCATTCACCCAAGGTCACGGAGTTCCTCAGTGGCCAAGCTGGCTGCACCCCTCATAACGGGCACTTTCCTGTGTGGACACCTGCATCCTGCTGCAGCCGGAGGACGAGCTCCCCGGGGACAGGGCCGGCTGTGAGATGCCCCTGCGTGCGTGCTGAGTTTAAGCAGTGCCAGGAGCCCTTGGGCCCTGAAGATCCATGCGCCTGCCCATGGGATGAGTTCTGACCCTCTGACTTCCTGAAGACACAGCCTTCTACTTCAAGCAGACTCCCTGGAGGAGACCTCCACCGTGTGGCTGGCCCCCCACCTGCCGCTCTGCCCTAGCCCTAGGGAGACAGCCTCACAGCTGCTTCCAGTTCTCTCTCTCTCTCTTTTTAAAAAAGATTTTATTTCTTTACTTTGAGAGACAGGGAGTAGGAGGGAGAAAGAGAGGGAGAGAAACATCAATGTGTGGTTGCCTCTTGTGCACCCCACACTAGGGACCTGGCCTGCAACCCAGGTATGTGCCTTGACTGGGAATTGAACCAGCGACCCTCTGGTCAGCAGACTGGCGCTCAATCCACTGAGCCACACCAGCCAGGGCTGCAGGTCTCTTCTTGAACTGCCCTGCCAGGAGGAGGGCTTGGCAGCAACCCGTCAGTCCCCTAGCCTCCAGGGGCGTGGGGCTGAGGTGGGGGACTACCCCCACCCACACTCTCTGCCTTTGTTTAGGTCACTGCGACAGGCTAGAAAGCCTCCCCTCCTCCCTGCAACCTCAGGATCTTCCAGGAAGGCCCAACCAGGCTGCAACTCCTGTCTTAGCAAATTAAGGAAAAAGTTCTATGGCAGTAGTTCTTAATCCTGGCTTCTAGAGGGAAGGCTTTAAAAAAGCATAGGTATCTGGGCCCCACTCCAGACCGTTTAAGCCAGAATCCCTGGGGGTGGTCTGTGATCTCCATCAGATTCAGACAGATGTGACCCACAAAGTGTTAAGCACCAACAACCAAATGGTGACGCCATTTGGTAAGACATGTCAAGCCAGAAACCCAAGGCCTCAGCACGATTTCTACACCGATGCCTCTCAGGGCCAGGCTAATAATCAATCCCGTTTCCTCCTTCAGGCCTGGCCTGGCCGACTTAATCCCCGAGCAAGAGAGCTCAGCTTTGTTGGGATGCTGCTGGCAGGCAAAGCAGAGGAAGGCAGCTGCCTGTGTCCTCGGGGTCGGCCTCAAACTCGGTGGACTTCCATCAGAAACCCTGGCCCAGGTTCCCAGGCCCCCAGGGCCCGTCCCGACAGCCCCCGGGGCCTGAGGCCTGCACCCCCCTTTCACTCCGGCTGAGGAAGGCCACCCACTGGGGCTAAGGGTGGATGAGATTCTGGGCTTCAAGGCCTCAGCCCTGTCCAGGGTCCTGACTCCTGGTCCTCCTGGTCCGAGCACTTCGTCCCGTCTGGTCCCCTTGCTCTGGTGTGGAGGGTGTCCCTTGATCTGCACCCTCAGGGTGCACTGGGAAAGGAGGGCCTTGGCAAGTCACCACCACAGGGACAGCCCCTTAGGTCTCAAGGAAACCCAGCCCCAGCCCTTTCCGTAGCTGCTGACTTCACTGTGGGCCGTGGCACTGCTGCGCTGAGTACTGTGGTCCTCAGACAGCCCACCCCTCCCCATTCAGAGGTGAAGAGAGGAAGTGAACCATGTGGCTACCAGGGAGGGGGTCCTGCACCACCTGCATTACTCTGCAAACATTTTGGCTGGGAACTTGGGCCAGACTGGGAGCAGACCCCGTGACCAGCCTGACGGCCACCCCATCCACAGGCCTCTCACTCTCTCGGGGACAGGGCCCTCAGCCCCCAGGCCCTGCAGACTGGAAAGGCCCTCCTCTCTACACCAGTCACAGAAGGAGAAGGTTACAGCCCAGCGAGATTTAGTGCAAACATTCTCTGCCGCCAAATCCTCGCTTTCATCTCTGCCTTCTCATGAGCCAAATAATTTGGAAGCTTTCATTGACGGTTTCCTCTCCGCCCTGAGATAGCTTGGAATTTATGGTGGCGATGGCTCAGCCTCCTCACTTAGGGGACGAGGGAAACCTCGAAGGCTGCTCTCCAGCCTCTGTGGGAGGGAAGCTTGTCCTTGGCCATCATTCAAGGCGGGGAGGGCTTCCTCGGCCCTCCCTCCCAGAGCCCAGGACCTGAGGGTGGGGCCTCCTGTGCTCCAACGCAGGGCCACGTGTAGCCAGCCCCCAGAAAGGGCCAGCACCAACACCCTCACGACGGCCTGGATCTATTTTTGGGTGGAGAAAGGTTCAAAGGCTCTGAGCTGGAAAACCCGAGAGGCAGGGGAATTTTCAGCCCCATGCAAATCACTCTTTCTCCTCGACCTGCATTGACACCTGTTTCCTCCCCGCCACCAGCCCGTCCTGGGTGTCAGCGACAACCCAGCCCCCGGGATTTCTGCCCGGACAGCTGGCCCCTCCTCCCACTGGTGCTGGAGGGAGGATGGAGCTCCCCAGAACTTCTCCGCCTTTCTCCAACCTGAATAGCCATGGAAAGCAGCGGGCAGATTCTTCTTCTCCTCCAAAAAGGGCATGACAACCACTGCCTCCAAGGACCAGCAGGGCACACAAAGGTAGACATTGTTTTACTGTTTCAACCATAACAATAGGGGAGCCCCTGCAGGTCTCCAGATGGGGGCAGGAGGAAGAGGGGTCCTCCCAGGGGGCTAGTCCAGGAGGACACTAAGCCTCAAGAACAGAACCCTCCTCCCAGCTTCCGGTCCAGTCCTGACTGCATTCCTAGAGGTACCTCCTTCCATCTCCACCCCTCCTCCACCGGGCCAACAGGACAGCAGGTTGGGGGATGGGTGCGGGAGGCATCAGGTCTCAAAGGCTCCCCACTCCCCACAAAGGAAGAGTCCCAGGGTCCGCCAACCCTAGGAGGTGGGAAGTCCTTTTTCAAATGCAAGTTGCTGCGGAAGACCCTCCCCCTCCCAGAGGCTGGCTAATGACCCTTCGCACCAAGACCCCTCCTGGGGTGGAGGGAGGGGAGAGGAGGGCCCAGGCTCAGAATACAGATACCTCGCCCCCGCCCCCAAGGGCCTTCCACCCTGGGCACTGTTGGCCCCCCAAACTTCAGGTCTTGGCTATATAATTTTGGAAACCTCAGTTTCCCCATTATAACAGGACTGAGAACTCTGGGCCGGCACCTTTAAGGATTAAAAAACTAAAACCTCCAGCCCAGTGCCTGGCTACTCTGCATGTAGGCTGCAGACAATGCCTCTCTTAGAGGCCCCATTCAAAACCCCCACCTTCTCAGAGACTCAGTGCTCCCTCGGCCTCTTCTGTGCCCAAAGAAAGAAAGACACTGAAGACCTAGGAGGGAGCGATGAGGCCCTAGGTGGAATTCTAGGAGCCCCACCCCCACCCCCACCGCTCGGCAGCTTCCGAAGCCACTCAGGTCTGAGTAAGGAAGGCTTAAAATGCAAACGCATGTGAACTGGGCCCAATAAGGAGCAGATAACTGGGTGATTCTGAAGATCCATCCTTCCGCCCTTCATCCGCAATCCCATCACCCTTGATCAGCTTCCAAAGTGTCCCGACTCCTACTGCATCTTACTCCATGGCCCCCGCTGGGCTCCAAGCCACTGTTGTCCAACTGCTGGTCAACTGCAACAGAAACCTTTCTGCTGCCACCCGTGTCCCCAGAAACCCTTCTCCGGCAGCCACTGGGACTTAACTTTCATTAAAACATCAGACTATGTCATTACCCTGCTGATGATCCTGGAAAAGCTTCATCTCTTGCTCAGATCAATAGAAACATCTTTACAACTTACAAGGCACCACACTCCCCCCATTCATTCCATTCAGCCACACTGGCCTGGCCCGGCGATGGCCGTGCCCTCTGCCAGGAGTGCTTCCCCCCCTCATCTGAGAAGCTCGCTCCCCCCAGGTCTTGGCTCCTTGGCCTCCCCATCCCTGCTTCACCTTCCTCTAGGACCCTGGTCGCTACCCACCTCCGAGGGCTTCTTCTCGTTCTGCCGGGACCAGCCCGGCTTGGTGCTGCTGGGCAGTTTGGAGCATCTTGAGGCGGATGTAGTGTGACCTGCAGAGAGAACACAGCCCATTAGGGGCCCCGGGAAGGCCAGGACCACCACCCACCCATCCCCAAGGCCAGCAAGCCTGTCCCTGAAGGTGCGGGAGGTGGCATCGCTGTGAGCAGCTGGTGGCCTGTCCCCACCCTGGGCCTCTCCGATGATCCACGAGGATGTAACCTCCCTTCCGCTTGCCAACCAGAAGGGGCTAGGGAAATAAAAGGCAGTGACTGGCACTCAGTATTAGCTTCCTGTGTGACCCACGACAAGTCCCTTGCCCTCTCAGATCCTCGGCCTCCTCCTGGGTATGATGCCTGGTGGACAGACAGAGGCAGTGTGGAGCCGCAGACCCACAGACCAGGCCTGAGCCTTGGCTCAGCCACCTACTAGCTTGTCACCCTGGGCAAATAACAGCTTCTCTGAGCCTCAGTGTGCTCTTCTATAAAATGGGGGGCAGAAGACTGACCGCATGCCTTCGAAGGGTGGTCGTGAGAAGCAGAGGCTATCATGCCTGCAGTCTCAGCACGCAGTGCTGCATCAGCTACTGTCCCGAGGGCCTAAGGCCCTCGCTGAACAACAGGGCTGTGGCCTCCATCCTGTGGGTCAAAGGGGCAGCAGCCATGGGTGGGCGCAGTGGTGGGGGGCTGCTGAGAAGAGAATGTGCACCAGCCTGGCCCGGATCTAATGTGGCTACAGGGCTCAGTGGCCCAGACGCCCACCCCTTGCATGTGCGCGGCCCTCACGGGTTCCTCTGCAGGCAGTGACGTTGAGAGGATGCCGCTCTTCTTGGCTCTGCTGAGCCAGGCCACAGGCAGTGCGGTCACAGCCACAGACGGCGGGATGCTGCGATCTCCCGCCACAGGGAGGAAGGGCTGGCCAGGTTTGACACCAGAGCCAAGCTGAGCCAACAGTCCCCAGAGGACAGTGAGTGAGACCTGAGCAGGGGGCAGGGACTGAGACCACACTTGCCAAACTAGTGCACCTGCTTCAGGCCTTTGGGGGGAAGGTGTGGATCTTGGGAGCTCTAAGGGTCCTCAGCGGTCTCCTTAATCCCGGGTGCTCACCACGTATGTCAACAAACTGAGGTCTGGGGAGTTGGGGCTCCAGGCCCCGCCTCCCTGGCCACACAGCCTCTTCCTCAGCCTGGGCTTCCACAAGCTCCCACCGCTGGGCGGGTCCTCCTGGCAGCGAGTCTCTCCTACACAGGGCGGTGTGGAACTCCTCGCTCCCGGGGCAGCTGAGAAGAACTGCCTGCTACTACTAGAGAAAAGCTCTCACCTTATACTGCTCCCGCAAATCTCAGAAGAGGGAGCCCTATTTTCTCCCCGACAATGTCCCCCTATCCCTAGACATCCCAAGGACACCCTCAGCCCATACACTAGCCTACCTCGGAGAGCCTGTCACAGAGACCCCGTGAAGGTCAGACCCCTTCACTCATCTCTTCAGCAAACACTCTCTGGGCACCTGCAACGCGCCAGATCCAGCTGGGGATGAGGAGCGAGCAAGACTCGACCTGTCTGAAGAAGGAGCTTACCAGTTGTTAGGTAACCATACTTATCAGGGAATTATGACAGAGACGGGTTTTCTGTGGGCCATGCAGAGGCCTCCTCTAGGGCCCCGACTCGACAGGGGGGCCACAGGGAGGGGACGTGCCCTGGGAGCCAGAGCCACAGAGGCAGAGTCCCAGAGGGGGCAGGTCTGTCCCCACCAGAGCCAAGCAGGTGCGGCTGAGACCGCCAGGGCAGAGGGAGTGGAGCGGAGAGGACCACGAGGCCCCGGGGGCCAGGGCGGCGTGGGCACTTTCCCAGGAGCAGAGGGACCTGCTCCGATGTGCGGTGCCTCCCTCCCCACCGAGACCGCAGCAGCCTCTCCCCATTCGGGCTGTGGGCCCGGTGACTGCTCACGGGCTTTCCCCGGAGGAGCCCCAAATGGCAGGCCTTACTGTCAGTGGTGTCAGAGTTGTCGCTGCTGATGGAGTATTTTCGCCTCTTCTCTTCCATCTGTAACGAAAGGCAGACCCCATTGTACTCGCAGGCAGCTCGGAAAACCCTCGATCCCCCTGAAAATCACCAGAAACCTGCCTCCCCACACTCACCCTGCCCCGGCCAGCCCCACCACCTCCCCATCTCCATGGGTAGGGAGGGGAGAGGAGGCTGCACCTCCCAGCTCCTGAGCCCGGACCCTCAGAGGAGCAGGAGTCTGGGACGAGGGGACTTGCCCAGAACCAGCTTCCTTTCGAGGAAACCCAGGCCCATCAGAGAACCCACCCCCATCCAAAAGCTGCAACTGGTGCCTTGCTGGGTGCCAAGGAGGGGAGGGCAGAGGAAACAAGATGGATTTTTCCAGGAGGACCATGCTGCCTGCGTTTATGGACAAGCCATCTCAGTCAGCACCAAGGGCACGTCCCAAAAGCGGGGGGACAGGGAGGCTCCAAACTGAGTCCCTGAGACACACCAGGCCCAGGGGTGACTGGTCCTGGGCACCCGCTTGCCCCCCGGGCCCTTCTCCTGGTAAAAGTACAAAAGTACTCAGTCGTATGGCGACTGAGGTATTTAACTTCAGGCTAAGAAGGGCAGCTCTCCCACACTCAGCTCACTCCTCTCCCCACGCTGCCTCAGCTGCCTCCAGTCTCTAGCAACCTGCTGAGTTGTGAGCTATTAGCTCCGTTTACTGGGGAGGCTCAGTGCCTTGTCCGGCTAGTAACTGGCTGAACTTGGATTTGAATCCACTTGGCCTGATCCCTAAAAGCCCGCATCAAGCTGCCTTCATCAGCTCCCACCTACTGGTAGTGCTCCCCCTCCCCACCCCCCTCCCCGCCCCCGCTATTTCCTCTAATCCTGCAGAGACCTGGGTGGCTGAGCCTGCTCCTGTGCCCTCTCGGAGGGGAGCACCCCGAGTGGCTGGTTAACCTGCCCTGGGTCTCAGGCCCAGAGCACTTTCCACCCCGTTCCAGTCTGGAACCCTGGCCACCTCCTTGCTCATAGCAAACGACAAGGAGCGGGTGTCAGTAGGGAAAAGCCCCACTGCCCCGCCCAGCCGAGGGCCTATCAGGCTCCTGGTCCCGCCTATGATCCTATCTGCTACCTGCCAACACCCCAAGTCTGTCCGTGCCAGGCCTGGGGTTCCCCTTCTCCTACTGCATATAGCCATGCAGACCTCTGAGCTGACCGGGAGGCCCACCTGCCTTGGACTAAACCTGCCACCACGTCACCCAACAGCGAGATCGGGATGACAGGAAGGTTCCCTGGGGCTGTGTGTGGCCCTGCTCTGAAGGTAAAGATGAGAGCTCTGCAGAAGGGATGCAGGTACGGAGGGATGCCCGGCAGCATGAAGGGATGCCCGGCAGCATGAGCTGCACAGGTGGCTGGGAGGTGGGGACAACTGTGCCCCGGGTGGCGGACACCGTGGTACATGGGGACCTCACGAAACCCCCAGAACAGACCCTGGGTACAGGTGGGCATGAGGGCTGCTTCCCTTTTGCAGACAAGGAAAACAAAGCAAAGAAGTGAAGTGACTTGCCCAAGATCGCAGCGCTTTTAAGAAATCTGATTTGAGAGGCCCCGCTCTTGCCCTCTATTCCTCTCCTTGCCTCCGTGCAGCGGAGCGCAGGCAGGCAGTGATGCCCTACCACCCACAGCCACCTGTCCTCGATGTCCTCTGGGGTCTGAGAATGAGTTTACACAAATCCCTGACTCTAACCTACACCTTGTCTACACTACTGGTCAGGCAGGAGTCAGGGAGAGGCGCTACCAATGCACCCACCCGCTTTCCCCTGCAGCGGGCTGTCCAGGAATTGCGTTTCTCTTCATTTCTAGCAAAGAGGGCACTTCCAAGCCTGGCTCTCACATAGCATACAAGCCACCACCCCTCACCAGACCAGAGACCACGGGAAAGGCATACCTCCCCGAGGACACACACTGGATCTGGATTTTTACATAAATCTCCTGAACTTAAAATGTTGGCAACTGATTCAGAACTTTAAAAACACTTGGAGAGGGCCAAACTAAACACATCTCTGGGCCAGAATCAGCTGGTGAGAGTCAATGAGAGCAGCAGAAAGCCCTGAGCACAGTGGTTGGCTCTCCACATAGGTGTCGGTTATGAATACCACGGCGGCCCTGGGCCAAGTAGAGACCTCCTACCGGTGCCCACCTGGGGGGCTCCTCAGAGGCAGCAGCACGCTGCATAGTAGGGCAGGTCCTCTAGACGAGGACTTCTGATGGCCAGCACTCTTCCCGTAATGCTGTGTCCTGCTGCCCAGGACCTGCCAGGGTGCAGACCTGCACCCCACCCTCGGCCAGTGCCCGTCCACCCTGCCCTCTGTCACACAGCCCAGAGTCCTCCTGGGCCGGAGTTATTAAGGGCGCAGATCTGGTAGTGGCCTGATTGAAACAATAACTAGGCTTCAGAAGAAAGTCACTGTCGGTGAGTGAAGCTTCTTGCTTTTGAACCAAGTCTGTTCCAAAGGCCTCCCTGCCTCAGGTGAGCCTCCGCAGTCGGTGGCTAATGAAGCCCCAGAGGAGGCCTGGGCCCCTCTGCGGGACAGCCTTTTGCCCCATGAACCTCCCACCATCCATTCTAGCAAGGGGAACAGGGAGGGCTCCTTCACCAAAGCAGAAGTCTGAGACTGCAAATACGGGTGGGGGCTGGGGATATTGAGACTTGACCTTGGCCTCTGGGTTATCCCTCTCCACTGGTCTCTCCAAGTTCTCCCCAAGCCAGGTCTGCTCCAGGAGGTGTGTCACAAGGCACGTTCCTCTCACCTACAAGGGAGACTCAAGGAAGGAAAGCTCCCTTTCCTTCCGTTTGCACCTCCCACACTGTCCCCAGCACGGAGACACAGATAGGAAGCTCTCCTTTGGGAGTGTGGGTGTCAAAAGGTCACCCCAAAGCAGCAGCACCCCCACAGCCTCTCTGTGCATCCCCTACCCCATAGTCACCACCTGGCCAGGCCGGCGGGCTCTCCCTGCAGACACACCGTGAACCCACCCACCTGCCCCCACTTCTCCTGCCAAGAAGCGGGTCCAAGCCCTCTTATCTGCTGCCTAGACTCCTCATTGACCTCCCAGCTTCTACTATTGCTCCCTCACGATCCAGGACCCATGCAGCAGCCAGAACGATCTTCAAAAAGTATAAATCGGACCATGTGATGCCCCTACTTAAAACCGTTCAAAGGCTTTCTGCTGACCAAAGGGTACCACTTAAGCTCCTGACCCCGAGACCGCCCCTAACCTTCACAAGTGCACGCTGGGACCCCTACACAGCCCGTGTGCCCTCTGCCTGTAATGGTCTCAGCAGCCAGGATATGTCCGACTTTCCATTTCTCAGGCTTCCGCTGAAATGTCACGGGCTCTACGCAGAGTGCCTGTTATTCGGCGTCTTTGGGGCACCCACCCAGTTTGTTTGCTGAGCTACTTGTTAAACCTCCTCCTCCTCCTGAACGGACGGTCCACGAGAGTGAGCCCTCCTCGCACGGCACCCAGCACGGGACAGGGGCTCGATGCATGCAGAGTGCCAAGGATATTCTCATCCCCTCCCTCTAGAAGTGCAGGGACCACACAGCCCAGCGGGCCTGCCTGGAGCTCGCAGGAACAAACACCCCGGCCCGGGATTTCGCCCTGTTTTCACAGCCCTCTTCCCTATCCTAACCTCACACATTTTCCAGGGCTCTTTATTTGGTCGGGCTCTTGGCTAACGATCAGTGCCAACTCAGTAATGGGGCAGCAATTTGGTGGCAGATGTTTTCTTGGCAGCCCTGGTCACTGGTCTTAGTGGGGGCCCCGGGTCTGGACTTGAAACACCAATGCCCAGTGCCAGCCCCCTTTAAAGACCTCTCTGCAAATAAACTCAAATAAACACCCTGGGCCTCCATTAACGCCCTTCCAGCTGACCCTGGGAACAGTGGGCCTTTCAGGCTTGCTACTGCAGCCGCTCCCCGGGCAGTTAAAACACCCCAACCTGGCCTCCGGCCGCTCCTCTCTGGGGGCCACCAGGCCTGCCCTGACCGCCACCACACACAGCAGGATTTCGTCTTCCTCCTTCAAAAAAGGGGAGTGGGGGAGGCTCTCAGGCAGGCAATTTACCATTCCAGACACAATCTTTCAAAGAGAAACAAAAACTCTCCCTGTCTGAGGCAGACCACTAAGGCGTGTGTGTAATAAGATGCTAATACAATTTAATGATATTTCGGCTGGAAAACCTGTCCTCAGAGCCTCCTTGTGTCGGGAAGGCCAGACATTCAGAAAACAAGAACTGCTAGTCTTAAACGGCTTTAAACCGGGGTCAGGGCCCCGCTCCTTCCTATCTCTCATTAACGTTAATGCCTTCTCGGGGGCAGTAACTGCTGCTGCAGAAATGATTGTGTACACACAGACCCTCACACTTGCTTCTCTGGGCACAGGGGAGCCCGACCTCTCCTCCGACACCCATCATCGCCCACCTGCAGTTCCAAGTGTCCCACAGTGCACCCAGCTCCCCTGGAGCATGCGGCCCGCGCCCGCCCTCCAGGCCCAGTTCTGGGGACATACCAAGGGGATCCTGGGAGAGTGAAAGGGGCTTTGTCTACTTTGTCCTTCGGCACCTCTCACCCTACTCTCCACCTCAGAGAGGGCAGAGCTCAGTCCGCTTGCTCCCACAGATGGCTGCCCACTGGCAACTGCAGGGTCCTTCTGACCCCTTCTTCAGAGAAGGGGGTTGGCTCTTCGGCCAAGCCTAAAGGGGAGAGATCAAAGGTCAAAGCTGCATTTGGACCCTCTCCAGGTCATTAATAATAGTAGTTAGAATGACTAATACTAATCAAGCGCTTACCACATGCCTGGCTTTGGGTTTAGTCTTCTTTATGGTAGGTACTGTTATTAACCCTATCTGCAGATGAAGAAACTGAGGCACAGATTAACTGGCATGCTGGTGACTGCACAGCCAGTGTTCAAAGCTAAGCGGTCTGATCCCAGATGGGGTACCCCATCCCACTGGGCGACCGTGCACAGGATGACCCTTCCTGAGTGCGGCCGCTACTCCAGGCTCTCCTGGATTGTCTGAGAACCCTCCTGGAGTCCTCAGCTTTGAGCCACTCGGGAAGGGTCCTAGGTAGAGAGCAGGGAAAGCGAGCTGTACCCCCCTCCTCACAGCTCTGACCTGGCCCTCCCTCAGAGAACCTAAAGGGAGAAGCGTGAGGCCCACTGGGAGCCTGCTGCATGAACTGGGGCGAATTTGGAGTGGAGGCCTCCGACCTGGGTCTCGGGCATAAGACAGCCATTGCCCTGGTAACTGGAACATCAGTTAACCAGAACACCCTACCCCCAACCTCCAGGATGTGGAAGTTGGTGTCAAAAGTGTCAAAGGCCTGACCTCCACTCCGGGTTGAGCCTGGGGCCTGGGGACCAGCCATCCTACCTCACCTGTCATAAAAGCTAAGTGAGATTTCTGACAGGCCCTTGGATCAGTGTTACTGGCTGTTCAGCCAGGCAATTTAGGGAAAGGAAAAGCCTGTTGGATGGGAAACGCTCTGGAAACATTTGCTGCATCTCAAGCCCAAACAACTTTATCCTTAAACACTTCATCTCCAAAAGTGCTGGGGAGACCCTTGGCCAAACAGTTTCACATCCAACATTCCCTGCAAGTCCTGCTTGCTGCCTGGGGCGAGGACTTCCCTCTGCGAGGCATTTGCTGTGGAACCAAATGCTTTTCCACTCTAAACAACGGCCAACAGCACTTCGGACAACTAAGAGGGCTCCAGATCAAACAAACAGCCCTTTTTTTCTACCATGCAAACTTTCTCAATAAATTATTCGCCCACTTCGGATCAAAGCCTGTTTTTGCAGCCTGTGACCTAAAAAGCAAATAGCATCTCTTAAACATGAAAGCCCTCCTCCTTGCCTGGGTAGGCTTCATTACTCATTCCTTCCCCTTACAGTTATTCTGTTGTTATTTCCCTCCTCTGCTGGCGGGTCCCAACCTGCCCCAGGAAGATGGGACAGGAGGGATGGATGGTGTGTTCACTTGGGGCCCTGAGGTGAGAGAGGAAGTCAGGGTAGGGGAGAAGCCAGCACCCTGAGAACCCAGGAAACAGGGCCAGCCCTGGTTGGCAGCTCCCTGTCAGGTCCTTTTGCCAAATGTCCTACTGGGAATTTTACCAGTGCAGGGAGTTAATGCCACCCTGGGAAGAGGGGCCAGGTGGCCCTACCACCACCGGGGCCCGGGACTCAGTTTGCAAGCAGAACCGCGAAGGGGGCCTCCTGACAGCTTGCCTGGGCTCAAAGGTCAGGGATCCTCCCCTTTCAGCAAAGGTAAGAGGGGAAGCCAGGGACACCTACTCAGCGCTTCCCCACCCCCTTCCGCAATGCTGAGTGCAAATATGATGCCCCCTGATGACCCCCCTGCAGAGTTTCAGCCTCTGGGTGAGAAACTCTGTCTCAGAATCCTGCACACGAGAAGGGGTTGGGGAGGGGGTGTGCTGAGTGCAGGGGCAAGGTTTGGAAATCTGCAGAGAACAGAGTTTCCGGCTGCAGCGTGCCCTTGGCACCGGGCAAAGGGAAACATGGCCCTTCCCGCCCCCACCAGCCCGGGGCACCAGACTTGCAGCGAAGACAGTAAGAAAAAAAAAAAAGAAAGAAAAAAGAAAAAGAAAAGTCAACTGCCCCGGCGGGTGGCAGAGGCTGGAAGAGGGGGCGGGGGGAAGGATGGCATGCGCCTCTAGCCTGCCCCTGGAGGAAGTCCTCGGGACGGCAGGCTGGAGGCGCGCCGGCGTGATTCCGACCGCGGGAGCCGGGAGGAGGAGCCGGAGGTGGCTGCGGGGGGCTCCGGCCCAGGCCAAGGAAGGGCAAGAGGCGGTTGGGGCCGAGGGCAGCGCCGGGAGGTGGACTGGACGCCTGGGGCAGGGGAAGGGGTTTAGGTAAAGCGGGTAAGGGCCCCGCGCCCCTTGGGAGGCGGACAGCTGTGTATGATAGGGAACTGGGTGTGTGTTTGGGGTGGGGGGTGTTCTGGGCCTCTGGAAGGTACCCTGAAGCCTTCCTGCCTGCCTCACAGACATCCCCATCTTCAGACAGAACAGCTACTAATTGTCAGGCTGACCCCCTCTCATCCCTTGGCCTGGAGAAGAGGGTGTGTTAGGGCCCAGGATGGGCGGGAAGGGACCGGAGGGAGCCACAAGTCTGCACACAAGCGGGAGGAGGCGGGCGGGAGCCGCTCCGCAGGCGCAGGCGAGTGGGTGGGAAGGAGGGAGGGAGAGGAAGAGAGGAAGGAGGTGAGGCCGGGAAGATGCCACTGCCGGGGGCGGGGCCGGGCCGGGGATCCGGGAGAGGGACTGCAGCGGTGCTTGGTGGGGGGCGGGGGCTGCAGTGTCACTCATTTGGGGGTCGGGTGTGTTAAGTCCAGGCTGGGGCTGCCACTTGCCTACGTCTTCCCGGTACCACCCAGGGCGCAGGGGCGGAGGCGGAGGGCCAGGGACTGCAGAACCATCCCCGGAGCGGGACGCGAACCGGCTGAGTTGGGAGAAGGTAAACAAGGGCCACGCCCCCTGCCGTCGCCCCGCGGGCGCGCACCCGCCGCTCCGGCCGCCGCGGGTACATTTCCACTCTCCCAGCGCTTCTCCCCCGCTGGACTCCCGCGCAGCCCCGGAGGGGGGAGCTGCCCCTGACCCAGCCCGCATCCCCCGGGCCGGGGCTGCACACCCTACATACTTACCTGGAAAGGGCGTCCCCCACCCCTACAAAAAACTGTTTAATTTGTGCAGAGCCTCCGCGCCCGGGAGCTGAGCATGCTGCCCCCGCGTGCAGCGCCCGCGTGCACCCAGCCCAGAGAGGGGGCGACAGGGCGGAGGCGGTGGCCCCCGGAAGGTGTCTGGGACCCGGCCGGCTGCACGTGAGCCCAGCGCGGGTCATGTGCACCGGCTCAGCCCGGTTCGGCGCCCGGACGTGCTGCGTATCAACAAAATGAAACTCGGGGCGACAGGAGGGCAGTTGGCTCTGGTTCCTCCAAACCCTGGTCCCCGGCCGCGCGACCTCCCCTCAGCACTGGTCTCCCGCCGCAGCCCCTCGGCCCGGCTGGAGCCGCGGGGCAAGTTGCAGCCCCGGCGCGCCCCCGCCCGCCCGCGCCCCCTTGCCGGCCCGGGGGCGCTTTGCCGCAGTCATTAATAAAGAAGGTCGCCAAACTCACCCTTCTAAAAGTTGTTGTTGCATGCGCCCCTCTCAGCCTCCCCGCAATGTACTCTTTAAAACACGACTGACCAACATGCGCAATCTCTCTCTCCTGTGCTGTGCATCCCCCCTCCCCCCGCGCGCTGGCTTCCTAGAACAGGCAGCCAGCAGGAGAGAGAGGGAGCGAGCGAGCTAGAGAGAGAGAGAGAGCGAGCGAGCGCGCGCGAGAGAGAGAGAGAGAGAGAGAGAGCGAGCGAGCGAGGAGCGCTGGCAGATCTGTTGCAAAAACACAAAATAACGCTGTGGAGATGCGCAGGGCCCATAGCCGGGGGATGGATCTTACCTTGCTCCGTGGTGCCCTTCCGAGGGGCGCTGCCCTCGGCTACGCGCCGCGGCAGGGGCCGGCGCGGGAAGGATGCTCCCGAAATCCGGAGCTCCTGGGGCCGGTGCGGACGGGCGGGGGGCGCGCATCCATCCGGGGTCGCGGCGTCCCCGCTCCCGCACCCCTGCCGGGGACGGTTCAGCCCACGGGACCCAAGCCCTTGCCACCTAGGAGTGGGCGCAAAGTAACTCCATGGACGCTACTCACCCTCCCCCCCCAAATAGCCTCCAACTGCGATGGCCGCGGTCGGCACCATTCACCAAACCCCTGTGTATGTTTCTGTTTCTTTTTAAACCAAGACTTCCTTGTGATCTCTTTAGAAAAAAAATGTGTTGGGGTGGGGGTGGGGGCAGGCGGGAGGAGCAAGGGAGGGGGAGTAGCCACTTTTTTCTTATTCAGTCGGATCTCCACTCCTGACAACCCCCGTCGCCCGCCCCCCCCCCCCTCCCTGCGCCCAGTTGTTTGGCTTCAACAGCGGGTCCAGGTAGCGTTGCAGGCCTCGGGAGGGAGGGTGCCCTGCCGGGCCGCTCGCTTGCCTGCACCTCGAGCCCGGACTTCCCACGGGCTCTGGGGCGCCCCCAGCCCGCCCTGTCCCCAGGGCCGGGCCCGAGCGGCGGCTGAGCCCGTGCAAGTCCCATCAGGTCTGCTCACACTTCACACACTCACACACATACCCCGCCCCTCCACTCTCTCACTCACACTTTCTGCTCACACCCCGCCCCCTTCTCGCCTCAGACCCGGGCGGCGCCCCCCGCAACCTTAAAAAAAAAAAAAAAGCAAGCTTATACTTAAAAAAATCTTTTGGCGCCATATTAATGACGTACTTAAAATTTGCCATTTTTTCCCTGCGTCAAAAAGACGTTTCTTTGCAAATAGCCTGAAGGCGACACTCGCGGAGGGAACGAGGTTTGCACTGAGCACCCGCCTCCCGGAGCTCCAGCGCTGGAAGACCCTCGCCCTAGGCCCTGCTCCTGAATCGCTGGTTTAAAAATGGGAATCGAATAAATCGCGTGGCGTTTTACAGCGCCAGAAGTGAGAAGAAAGTGCTGGCAGGAGCGGAGGGGAGGGGCGCGCGCGAGTCTGGGGGAGGGGGGCGCGGCCCTCCCCCCTCCCCTCAAGCAGCTGGAAACTAACATCTCGGGCAAGGGAAACTCGAAATTGTGGGCGACCTCGAAAAAGGAGGGGCAGTCCATGGGGAGGGTCCCCCTCGGGTTCGTCGCCCCCTCCTCCCGCCCGGGTGCCTCCTGGCACCCAGCTCTGCCCCGCATTTCCGGGGGGTGGGGAACGCAGTGATGGGTGGGTGGCTGGCTGGCTGGCTGCACGTCCTGGCCCCAGAGGAGCTTCCCCCTTGGTTGTCCTTCCCACTCCCCCTAAAGGGTTAAAAACCGAGGGGCAACTTCCAAAGGCTGGCATTAGGCGAGGAAGCGGGGCGCCCCTCTTCCCCACCCTTTGCCTCCTCGCCCCTCCTCCTCCAGCTCCACTTCCCGACTTGACCTTGTGGTGCACAAACAGTACGCTCAGATCCTTGCAGTTTCTGGAAGAAGAGCTTGCGCTCGCCCAGCAGGCGGACTGTGGGGCGGCTCGCGGGCGGTGGCGGGACCTTGGGTCTGTTCCCGGAGCCGCGGGCCACACCCACTCAACCCGTTGTGCCCGCCGCGCTCACCTTCTCTCGAGGAAGGAGCAGGGCTGGCCTCCTGGATGGGGAGGTGTGAGAGGCAACTGCAGCCTTGTCTGGATGCTCCCAGCTGGGCAGGAGGTGGTCTGGCCTCAGGTGGGGTTTGGGGGTGGGGGAGACCTGGGAGCCTAGCCCAACGTCCCCAGGTGTCATTGCCAACTTTTTCTTCCCCTTACCTTTTGGCAGCCCTCAAAGATTATCCAATAATTTTTTCAGCTCACCTTTGACTCTGAAAGCACATTGGCTGAGTTATGAACTGGGCCAGCAACCACCTCCCCTCTCCAAGACTGAAGGTTGTTTATTCTTTCATTGCCCTCCACCCCCTTTCATGGGAAGGTAAATATTCCATTTACATAAGGTGACATTTATGTCACAATTAAGAAGATTCCTGATGTCGTGAACACATTTGCTTATAGGAGAAATAAATCTAATAATAAACTCAGAATAGCACACATCTTCTGAGGGGTTGATTGTCTACACAACAAAGAGGGGCATGATGGGTCTGAAATAGCACTTTTTGCAACAAGAAAGAAACAGAAGCTCAAAGGATGTCAGTGCAACATTTCCCTGGCCTTCACTCACAAAGTCTGGGAAGGCTTGTCTGGCAAGAGGGAGGGGCTGAGCATCACCTCTGGGGTAGACCTCACTCTTGCTCTCTGTAGCTAGTTGGCAGGATCTGCCCAGCCCCAAGCTCAGTGGCTAGAGACAGAGGTGGCAGGCATTGACCAAGTAACAAAATGGTTAAATACTTGGGTTCTAATCCTGACCCTTCAGTTCAGCAGCTGCTGATGTGGACATCAGTAGTAAATTCCTCTCTGGCTCCCTTTTTCCTCGTCTGTGGAACGGAGTGGTGGCTGGGTTCCCCAGGCCATGTACGTGTGCATACATGTATGTACCACATGTACACATGCATGCTATATGTGTAAAACAAGGCCCAGCTCAGGGTGCACAGTGCACATTAGCACCTTCCCCAGTGCCCACATTTTGGAGGAGAGAATGTGCAAGCTCTTTACCTTGGAAACCTGGAGGTCAGTGATTTCTGTCTCGCTGTCTCTGAGAACAAACACAAGATCTCCCAGTGTGGGCAAAAGGAAAATGTGGGAGAAGAAACTGACAGATGGTGGGCTTCTTGGTCATGGTCCGGACATCAGCCTCAGCCACACATCTGAGATGGGAATGAGGGTACCAGTTTAGGGGGTGCAGTCCAAGGACACCACTCTGGTTAGGGCTAGTTGCAGGGCGTTTACATGCAAGGAGCAGACTGGACAGGCTCCTCTTAGCCATCAGGATCCCACAAATCCTGGCAAGCAGTGAAAAGGTGTCCTAGAGAGATGGGAGCGGGAGGGAACGCCATTTGAAGAGCGCCTGCTCTGGCTGTGCCCTGTGCAAGTCGTCCCATTTCACCCTCTTACTATTCAGAGCAGTGTGGTAACTTACCCCCAGTCACACAGCTAGCCAGTGGTACAAAATTGGCACCTAGCCCAACTGACCTTGAAACCCAGGTGTTTTCCATTTTACCACACTGCCAGAAATAAAAAGTATCCGTATCGTTGGATTGATTGTGGAGGGGAGCCTGGTTGCTGTATAGGTAAGAAAGAATTTTATGGGCAGCACTTTGCTTCTGAGGTGCTTCCCTACGTTTGGGTATGACCCATGTCCCCTAAAAAGTCCTTGGAAGATACTTCTTGTTTAGGACTGGAAGCTCCATCAAAATCCTTGGCTTTCTACAGCTCTCTGCTACTGTTTAAGGTTAACCTTGGAAATGTTAACAGAATGATAACTGTAAAGCTAATTATAACTCTTTAATGTTTATTAAAAGTCTCACAAATCATTAACTTTTCACAGAAAAAAAATGGAAAGCATAGAGTTCTTAGAGATATAATCAGTCTTTTTTTTTTCAACAAATATTTATTGAGCGCTTCCAGTGTGCCCAGGGTCATTTGTGTGCTGGGGACACGGCACACAGGTACCACACGAAAGTGCCCACTCTCATGCAGTCCACTTTCTAGTGCAGGGAGCTACACATTTTTTTAGAAAGTAAAAAAATATATTATATTTGGGGATAATTGCTATGGAGAAAAATTAAGTGGGAAAGGGCGATGAGGGATTGTGGGGATGCGATTTCAATACAGTCCTCGGGGAAGAGTTCACCGGGAAGGTGGCTTTTGAGTAAAGGACGTGAATGAAGGGTGAGCTGTGAAGGCTGATGGGGGAAGAGCATCCTAAGCCCAGGTTCTCAACCTGGAGTCCACACACCCCCCCTCCAGGGATCTGTGGATAGAATGCAGGGGGTGGTGATCTTAGAAGGGAAAAAAATATTTTCACTAGTGAAAATTCAGCATGTTCTTCGATTATAAATGCAGACCGCAAATCACAGGGATGTTAGTAACACCTGTGACATTGTTGCTAGCAGAAATCACAGATATTGTCATGTCACATTACAGTTGTTGAAAATATCTTAAAATATCATTATACTCCTCACTGCTTCAAAGTGCTGCTAGCTCTTGTAATTTAATGTTAATAAGAAACATATATTGCTAATTATACATTTTAAAATATTTTGAGAGTTGTGTTTCAATATCATTCGTTTCCTTTATTATTTATATGTCATTTTTATGGGTTTGATGACATTATACTCAGAAGGAGCCCATAAACACCCCGGACTACCACGGGGCCCACGGCGCACAACGAGAGGCTCAGAGCCCCTGTGTCTACAGAGACCAGCAGGTGCAAAGGCCCTGAGGCAAGAAGGTCCTTCATATGTGCCTGTACAAGGAAGAGTTGTATAAGGCATTATCAGCCCAATGATTAGAAATTAGGCTTTTGCGAGGAGTAATATGGAGAGTTTTGAGCAGAAGCATGGTGTGATCTGTCGCTGGAGTTTACGGTTACTCTGGTGCGAGATGGGGGAACGGGCTGAAGCAAGACGACCAGTGAGCAGTCACTGAAATGAGCCAGGTAAGATGTGACATTAACTCGGACCACAGTGGTAGCAGCGCCAGTGGTCAGCTCCTGCGTGCATTCCGAGGATAGCTCTGATAGGGTTTGTTGATGGGGTGTGAGAAAACCAGAAGTCAAGGATGAGGACAAGAGTTGTGCCTGGGCCAATGGAAAGATGGAGCTGTCATGCACTGCGATGGGGAAATTGTGGAAGAAGCAGGGTTTTGGGGAAGGAGATTAGGAGCTTGGTGTTGGACGTGGTAAGCTCAAGATGCCTGTTAGACATCTAAGGGCAGCCGTCCTGTAGGCGGCTGGAAACAGCAGCCTCAGCTCAGGGGCCAGGTCTGGACTGGAGGTATCATTTGAGAGCGGTCAGCGGGGATGCGACTTAAAGATACACGGCTGTCTAAGGTCACTGAGGATGTGAGAGGAGAAAGGGAAGCGGTCCAAGGTCCAAGGATGGTGCCCTTGGGCACTGCCAGGGGAGGAGGAATCAGTGTGATGCTGTTGAAAAACAAGTATTCCGACATCCCTCCAGAGAAGAGATACGAACGGCCAATAAGCACACAAAAAAAGATGCTCGACATCACTAATCACAGGGAGATGCAAATCAACACTACGGTGAGGTACCACCTCACACTCACCAGGATGGCTACTGCGA